TTCCTTGATCAGGTTAATAAACTGTTCAGCTTTGTCTGAAGTGTTCGTACGTCATCGCCACCGCTTATTTATCACTAGATTTCTACATCATCAGTGCTGGAAGTCATTGGAGACCTTGTGTTAATAGGCAGTGGAGTTATGTACAGGGAAAAATTGCTGAGAACTCAGGAATGTGCCTTGTGGCACTCTACCTAGTATCAACTTTCAGGTGTAGAATTATCAACTTTTTATTATTTTTTATCTTTCGCCGACGAGGAACTTTCTTGTACATACAAGTAGACTGCAGTTGATTTAAAAACTTTCCATCATCAGCGAATACGAATGAAGCAATTTACTGAACGTATTACTCAAGTCTATGAAAATGGTTTCTTCTGGCTTTCTGTCAAACTCAGGCTGCATTTAATAATCTCTAACAATGAGATTTGTCAATCACTGAAAACGTTTGTGAAAACTATTTTCCAAGCTAAGCAGTAGCGGGTTTCTTTTAGTTCAGTCCCAATAGATATCCTGATTACTGCTTCGGAGATTTTAATGTCAGTACAAGTCAGACTTACTAGTATGTAAGTTGATGGGTATTGCTTGGACCCTACATTGTGAAGAGGTGTTAATATTGAGCCCCTCTAGTCTTAAAAGTGCTTCCTTTGATTGGATAACAGTCCAAATGTAATAATAAGCTGGTTCGTTATATAGAGTGGAAGCTATCTAAGCAGAACGAACGCAGTGCGTCCAGTACCATCTATTTTCCCATATCCACTATACACATTATCCTAAACGTTTCACTGCTATCGATATTCACAGGGTCTATTTCATTGAGCCTCAATGCTTTTACTGTTCAATTTGTATAACTGACAAGTTTCTCGATATAAACGCCAGCAAAATATTTGCATCTAATTTGTCCTTATCGTCTTCAACTAAGCCAGTGATTTAAAGATGGGGATATCACAGAACGTTTTACTCCTAAAGTTCATGTAAGAGAATAAACCCTTCAGGTATTTCATCGTGACCCGAGCCAAACAAGTTTCTAAATAAGTTTAGCACCCTCAAACTGCGGTGCGAGATTTATCTGGAACTACATTGTAATGCTTCATCAGGTCTGGTGTACCTAGGTTACAGACAAGAATCTAAATTTTTTCATCCAATCATTAGAAAACTTCAGACGGTATTTCCGTCCCCTTATGGCAGTCCGTAAGATGAATGACTCGGCCAGTTGAGCGTATAGATGCCTGAAATGGTACCGTGTAGCCACAACTACGGTTTCTGAATTAACTAGGCCTTTCTCCGAAGATGCTACCCAGTTATTACCTGCTATTTCCGCCGTCAACTATTCAATTCTATCTAAGGCGTTGGTCTGGTAAAAGGCTGCTGCTTTGAATCTGAAGGTGATCGCAGCATGATCAGTTTTACCAAGGAGATCAAAGCACTGGATTAAGCTCAAATCCTATGTTAGTGAATACTAAGTTTAGAGCTTACGTAGTATGTTGATAGTTGTATCAAGTTGCTGCCCTTATCTGTATTATGAAGCGTTGGAATTTCCTGTAATTAAGCATCTGCACTGACCTGTTCAGAGAGCCAGATTTGTGCAGGAGGAAATTGTCCGCCTCATATTCAGGGTTATGATATACTAAGACAATTTTAACATCATGTCGCTTGCATTTTAGTCGGCAATGTAGCATTTCACAAGTTCTACATTCATATGCGACCGTTTCTGTGACTTTTACAACTAGGCTACTCATCACAAAAATGATGATACCATCACAATGACATGCTAATCAGAAAAAGACTGATCCTCATCAACGTGTTTCTATGGCACTTATTTCAGAAGAGAATCACATTTCTAAGACAGAAAATATGTTAGGGCTTTGCATACTCATTACATTGGTGAGCTCAATCCATTTGTTCAATAGAATACAAGCATGTGGATACAAGATAATAAAACCACCTTAACAAGTTTCCCTTCTATTCATAAGAATTCCGGCAACAAATTATACCGAAGCCTTAACACACTAGAACCTACCATTTTATACATTTCTCTCCTGCTGCCAACCAGGATTTCGGTTCTTTCTGTGTTTCACTTTTTTAATTTTATCAGAAAAAAAAAATAAATTCTTACACATAAACACTCTGCTGCCTTGAATTTTATAAGAAGTCTTCACTGTTGATATGAACGCAGTTTTAAGTCACTGAAATCTATTTTCCGTAGGAATGGCCTCTTCCTTGCTTTTTCTATGTATCCTGAGTAGAGCAGTACGTTTTCTGGTTATAACATGTTAGTCAAAAGTTGGACATAAACACGATTATTTCCAAAACGGTCATATGGTTCTGCGTCCCTGCTATCTTTAACTCTGTGAATGACTGCACACTTTTTCAGTGATTTCTACTTTAGCCCTCACTTGTTTAATGGCGATAGTTGTCTCTAATAGTATAACTGTTTTATTAGTATGCTACTTATTTCTGATGACTTGCTACTTTTTAAAGCCCATTGGATGCGAAAGCCTGAAAACCTTACAATCTATACTGTAATGGTGAAGATTCATACCCTTTTTGTGCAGATTTCATCACTAGCTGGGCGGTAGTAGTATTGCTCTGCCTCCATTTCTTCATCCAAGGCTAACATAATGTTATGGACAGTGGATATGAGACTGGATCTGAGCAGCGAGAATTTCAAGATACTCACTTCATCCTGCTTTGCATAACCTTTTCAAATTCACCTTCATATCTCGTAACTGGTTTATTTAACTAACACTGAACCCACTGTAAGACATTCTTAGGGTTTCGTACAGTAATATTTATGTCCACAGACGCAATGTCATCACCAGTATCACAATCATAAGCTTTTCTTTTCTGCTTCTTCGTTGCAGTACTCAGAAGTGATCTGGATTATTTGACCAATCTATGGATATTTACACAGTACGTTAGACGAAGCCAGATACTTCCATGCTTCCTTAAAACCATTTATAGCTCACCAGTTGAGCCTTGACGGAATGGTAGAACTACTAGAAAAGGTTCAGAAACATAAATAGAGGGATCCAAGATGAAAGTCGAATGATGATTCCTAGATCAGTAAATTAGTTGTGTCATTCCGGTAAAGTATGACTGAAGAACTATAAATGGTCTTAAGGGAGCACAGAATCAGAGCCTTTTACGAGACAACTAACACTCTCAGGAATGCTTTAATCTACTTAGAAGATGAAATCCCCTTTACCTCCACACAGAACTGTGTCTACAAATTAGTCTGCGTCGACTGTGATGCCTAGTATATTAGGGAATCATCTTGTTGCATCCCGATTCGAGATGAAGAAAACGTTAGTTACACAAAACGACTACCAAATAATTCTGTAGATCTACAAAGTTTACAAACCAAGTAGGCAATCGCCATTCATGCCATCTAACATGGTCACAAATTTGTCGGTGAAATTATTAAAATTATTCAAAAAGGATTTTCAAACTACAAAGGAAAGAGACTTACGTTATTTGAATCCAAATGTACTCATCAGACAAGAAGGTCCAACTATGAAATTAACCCGGACAGTATATCCGGGTTTGTCATCTCTAGTGTTTCTCAGGTTAGTATTCATCATGGACTGACATCAGATGGAGGAACATTGGAAATGTGACAGCAGTGAACTACTGTTTCGTCTTAATATGGGACTCCTTAGCAATGAGCAACAATGACCCCATCTCACCATGGATCAGGCTTGGAATTTTCAAGTTCAATGACCAGCATGTTACCACTGAATTGAAATCCAATAACTCATATTTCCTACACTCTTAAAGGTTTAGAGTTAACTTGAAATAAAAACAATAAATCCACAAACAAGATTTCATGTGAACTGTAATTGTGGTAGAAAGAAACCCGATAAATTATTTTTCTTAAATTTCATTATCGGTAAAAATGTATCAAAAACTATTTACAATTAGAAAAGTACTTCAAAGCAATCGGTTAATAACCATAAAATATTCATGAATAGCAATCAGAAAGTTATCTTTCTTGAATCGAAAATTGATTTAATCAAAGCGTAAATAAAATAGGCTTTGATGGGTAAATACAACAAATGGTAATGACTTTTAAGTGAAGGTGAAAAAGTGTTGCTCAATTTTTCAAAGAAGTTTAAATGATAAACTACGATTTTCAGTTATGTTGACCTTAACTTCAAAGAAATATACCATCATAGCCTGTCTTATTTAATTGTTATTACAATCTGAAGGTCACTGAATTGTAGATTTTATTCAAAAGACTAATTGACATTCCTGTTAGATGTCAATGATAATGAGAGAGGAATAATAATATACAGAAGTATAGCATGGTAAATTGGTTGGTTGTGGCTAGCAGAAGAATCGAGGAGGCACGTTTCTTCCTGTTTGGGACCTGTCAGCTGGATGTACCTGCATCCGAGTGATATTATTCCCACTGGGACTCGAACCTCGCAACCATCGCTTCAAACGCCATGGCGTTATCCACTATGCCATGGAGGAACAATAGCCACATTTTGTACAACGTGTAGTAGTTATTACTATTTATTGACATACTGGTTATTCTCCGTTGTTTTATTGGATCAAATTGTTCTACCTCTATTGACATATGGGCTCCTATGCGGATACTTCAATATTGCTTGAATGTTAATTATGATAAACTGGCTGGTTGGAGGTTCGAGTCCTAGTGGTAACAACACCACTGACTGGATGCAGGTACATCCAGCTGACGAGTCCTAAATAAGACGAAACCCACGTCCTGGATTCTTCTGCTAGCTACAACCAACCAATTTATCATAATTAACATTCAAGCAATATTGAAGTATCCGCATAGGAGCCCATATGCCAATAGAGGTCGAACAATTAGATGCAACAAAACAATGGAGAATAACAAGTACGTCAATAAATATGAAGAAGTAAAGCAGTTCTGTTGATTGTGAAAACAATGAATGTTCAATAATTCAATAAACACTTCAAACTTGGATATATATGAATTTCAATTTTACTTTATCCTTTTTTTATAAAAAAAGTTTTTTAGCTTAGATCCAACTACCGGTGAATTAATTGTAAAGAATATTTTGGATAGAGAAAAGATTCCATTTTCTAATGGATTGCATCGTTTAACTATCAAAGCTCTAGATAATGGTGTTCCACAAAGAAGTTCAACTCTTCTTGTAATGCTACAGTTATTAGATGTCAATGATAACGCTCCAATGATACAACTAGTTGAAGAAACTTACCAAGATCGACAATTTTCTAAACTAGAAACAGAGAATAATATGAATCAAGGAAATAGTAAATATCTACAAAGTACTATATATAATTTTATTACTAATGAAATAAAAAATAATCTAATCACTAAACTTTGGCAATCAGTAATGAAAAATAAATCAATGAATTCTACTTTAATAACTAGTCAACTAAATAATTTATCATTGCATGCCAAAATAATTGGTAGTCAACCAAAGGAAACAATTGTTACCTTTTTAATTGTTAATGATCCAGATTTAAATGAAAATGGGACAGTGACATGTAACTTAGAAGATCAGTTGGTAGTTTATTCAGAAAAGTATTTAAAACAAAATGAATATTATGCTTATTATGATAATAAAGTTTGTATGTCTTTGGAACCGTTTGAATTGGGCAGTGATAAATATCATCATCAGGAATTATATCAACAAAATAATGAAGATAACAATAGCCGAAATTCATTATCAATAATTGAAAGAAGAAGAATAAGCAGGAAATGGGAATCATTGCCTTCAAATTACTCAGCCAATCATTATACTTTTCAATTAAAAACTGAAATAGTAAGTTAGAGTTATATTGAGTATTTCTTATTTCGTGAATATATTTCACTTTATCACTGTATAGCATTATGTTATTGGTTGGATTATCCTGTAATTGATTAGATTTCGACGTTGGCTATCCCTTCAATGTAGCAATAATGAGGGATTTTGGCTACCAGTAGAATCTGAGATGTACAGAACGAAATAACTGCTCAGTAACCGATATGCCAATAGAGATTGATCAATTCCATACAATCTTTGATATAAGAAATATACTTGTCACGTAATAAGTAGTGATCATGACTCGATTGCATAATGGATAACACTCCAGAGTTTGAGACAACTGCTCCCAAGTTCAAGTCACTGGGATCTAAGTACATTCAGCTGAAAAGATGAACCACTCGCCCTGGATTCCACTGCAAGACACTATCCGTTATTGCTGTATAACGTCTAGAAAAATAATAGTTTCACATATATAATTAACTGTCGGGTAATTTGGGGTCTTGAGTATCGATCGGTTTATGAAGGTTTATGTAAACTACAATCTACAGTAGAGTATTCTTGTAATGACATGGAAGACTTGCTTGTTTTATGGATAAGCAGAGAAACGTTAAATACCATGCTTAGTTACCTCTGATGCATCATTCCATATGTTTCCTAAGCTTTAACTCATGAATAAACTCTTTAAATAAGAGATGTGAGCCAGAGATAACTGTCATATGGGATTCAAAACTCCATTTAAAGGATAAGATGACAGAATAGTCCTTCAAATACGTACATAAACGAAAATGCACCTTTTTTAAACATGACTTTTAGACATACGACAGTAAGTTTGTAGTAATGAATGGTCCTCATAAAAATTTCAGTGACTGTTAGCCACCAAGTATCAGTTTTTTGGAATATAGCCCGAGATCTTGTGTCCATTTTGAATCAGAGTAATCTAGGTATAGTTGGTCAAAATGATAAAATACTCCGCTATGCCATGAATTGCCGTAGCCAGTACCATACCTCGATGACTTCCTTCTGACCACTGATTTGCAGATAGTCCTAATGTCCATTTTCCTATATAGTTATAAACTGTCTTTGATAAAGTGATCCATTATCATGCAAAGTAACTATTTCAGCTGATACATGTACAGGGGCATTGAGCCCACTTGAGTATCTGTTTGATTGTAAACGTTGATATCTTGGCTTGCTCTGGTATTCATTGAGGACTTCTAATGCGTATTCCTTGCGAGGTATGGTTGTAGAAAGGCTGGATGATACTAAACATGTTACATCGTTTTACAAACGCATGGCATATACTTCATGGTTTTCATCAATATGATCTGACTGAATGTTTTCACCGGTTACTATTTTGTGGTGAGAATTGGAGGGGTTAATATCGTTCTCATCCATCGATGCAACAAAAGTCATATTATTAAGCTACTTGAACTCAGTTTCAAACAGTCCATCACTAAAGTATTTCCTAGGAATCTGTCTAAAAAAACTCAGAACTTATGGATGTAGATTCTGCTTGGATGTCATACAGTTTTCGGCTAAACTTCTCAATAAGCCTCAGTGATGAGGCTTTCACTTCTTCAGTAAAGCATTATAAAACAGCTGAAAATTCTTCATTAGAAAAAATTGCCAATTTTAACCTGACGCCAGTTTTATATGTTTCAATCTCCACTTGTATGTGTCTTAAACAATGACTTGATATAGCCTGAATTATATGCGTAGGTGGACTACTACATATGAGAACGCTTGTACAAATACCTTCACACTCCACTGTTAAAAGTTGGTCACTCTTTTTCTCCGTAAACAGAAAAGGTGGTAATTTAATAGGTGTATTTCCAACCTCAACGGTAACATGAACTTTTTATACAAGTTTTATTTACTTTACAATGACCTAGGCTATTTGCATGCCTACTAGATTTCATCTCTCCCGCTAATCTGATACTTACTAGTTGTTTCACGTAATTTTTCCCGAAATTTTGAAGCAAAGCGATTGGTTGAAAGTAGCTCTTGTCATGTGCAGTTTCTTAGGAAGATTTTCTCAATCTTTTTGCATAGTCTAACAGTCCATATAGCCCATTTTTCATGCGATTAAAGGGTTTCTTCAGTTGAATTGTTGAAATGATCAGAAAAAAATATAATAACGGATAGCTTAGGTGCCATATTCTCACTGGATAATGTGATCTGTGAGTCACAGTTATTCATTTGGAACAACGAATGAAATTACTAACCATTTAAATTTACCTGATAGTGGTTAGCAGTGGAATAAACAACGTGGATTTTCTCTCATTTGAAACACGTCAGTTAGATCTACATCGATCCCACTGAGCGAGAGTAGAACCCGGTACTCACCGCCTTAAACAACTGAGCGTTATCCACCAGACCACTGCTATCTACCAGTAAGTAAACCATAAAACTTAATTTTTAGGCAATATCAAGGTATTCGCATAGGATCACAAATGCCAACAGGGGTTGATCAGCTTGATCCAGTATACCAACAGAAAATTACAGATATCTTTATTGTGTACACATGAAGCTATTAGATAATTACCAGAGGAATACAATTTCCTCATGTAGTAAATTACTTTAAGTTATTCTTAGCTGGTTACAGCAAGGATAATATTCTTCTTCAATGAACTGATTTTAAAGCTGTCTGCATGTCCATAAACATACAATCTTAAGAATAGAAAGCTTTAAGAGAATTTCTAGTCAAAAGTCTAGGCATCAACTGAATGAGGAACATGGAAAAGAAAAGGATATTACATAACATGGGGGACAGTTCGAAAAGTTTCATAAAGTTAGCGGACAAATATGTAAAAAAGAAAAAAAAAGTATGGAATTGTTGAATGAAAATATCGTTTTGGAATAAAAAAAAAGGGGGGGAATGACATGCGATATTTCTCATGTGACGGTAGATAAAGTGACTGGAAATATTTCATTGTGGCCCTTAGTTGAAGCTGAACTGTTAGTAATTCAGTTGCACACAAATATCTTGTCATCATGACTTTCAAACGATTAAACTGGATATTGAAGATTTTTAAATATTTTTCGCATAGGATTTGAGTGTTAGGGATTCTCTAGAAACTTTACTGTATGGCTGAAAATAATCTTGTTTTCACGTCTGGAAAGCAAGGCTTGATCGTTTTGTTGGTCTATAATGCAGCTAATGGAAGCAATGAAATACAATGTAATTAATTGGTCTTAATAGGATGACGAATCAGCTTACTATATGCAGTTTCATCTCAGTAACTTGGAAAAGCCTTCAAGGGAAAACATGTGACATTCCCCAACTTCCTTTGTAGAAACTCATTCTAATGAACTCAACATTCAAGGATGACATCGTCAAATAGCACAAATTTGACGACGTAATTTGTGTGATCATGATGCTTTTTGCTTCCAGCAATGTCATATCCATGGATATCTGAATACGATATAAGATTTTTCTTCAACTGAAACTACTTTGTTATAGTGACGTAAGTCTCACAACATTTTGTGCGAAGGTGGATAGCAGTTGCTTCATTAAACAATTGAGAATTTATTCGGATTATCAACAAGTTGTACGCTAAATATAAAAGTTCGTAGAATATTCATAAACAGCTGTTTAACCCCAGTATGAGATTTTTCAGCTGATGGGTTAATGCGTTGCCCGTGACCCTTGAGGGGGGTTCGTGGGTACGCACCACCAAGGAGTCCCTTACCAGGAAGAAACAGCTATCCAGCGTTCCTAAGTTTTCACTGGCTCTTCAAATAATGTTAATCTATGATAACTGCTACTTTATATGCATAAGTTTTCTTTTACTCACATCAACATTGCTTCCATTATTACTAATAGTCTACTCATAAATTCATTAGTAGTAACAGTATATGTCACTTTGAGTTTTGACAAGTAGAAGATTATTTGGTTGATAATTTTTCGTTTTGTTGATGTCAACATTCACCTTCTTGTTGTAAACACGTTTAAAAAAACAGAATTACTCGTCAGTGGTTTCTTGTGAGAATATACGTTAATATTTTTCGAAAAATATCGCTTATCACGTAAATATTCTTAGTTTATCCTTTTATCACGACAGATTTTTAATTACCCAAGAGAGTTAGTTATTCTTCAGGCAAATTCATTAAAACGTTAACTGATATCCTTTTTTGTGTGAATTAAATAGTGTATGCTTAAGTGGATCTCATTTTTAAGCAACGAAATGAAATAACTTTGTTACTTGTATTATCGCGTTACTGACTTGGCTAAAATTGGTCGGTCTCTGTTGGCAACTGGACTCTTGTGGATGCCTAAAACTACACCTGTTGCATAAGAATTGGCTCTTTTGCCAAAGTGGCTTAGTAAATAACCCTCCGGCATTTGATTAGAGATCGATACTGAGTTTGAGTTCATGCGAGAAGAATATCGCCCACTGAGAGGAAGGTACACCCAGCTGATAAGTCCCAAATAGGACGAAACGCGCGTCAGGCTGGATCTTACTGCTAGCCGCTATTCATCATTAGTAAGTAATGAAATAAAAATGAGATAGGAGAGCCTGCTCAACCTAGGGTTCACGATTTTGGCACTCCTCAATAAAGCGTATATCCATTCTTGGGGGAATTAACATCGTGTCTGAGATTGGAATCCACACCACCTGGGTCTAAAATGAGAGACGTCATCTCATTTTTGGGGGCTTCATATAGTATTCTTATTGGTTAGGATTCAGTATATCCCTTGAAGTTGGAGAATACGTCTTGCTGATGAGTGCCAACAAGTATAAAACCGAGACTGAGCTGGGCTTCTTACCGATCACCTCTAATCATTTAGCATCAATCAAAGTGCACCATGATGCAGAGTCTCATGGACTGATGACTACACTTAAAATTGATCCACGGGATTCTTTCAGTACTTAGAACTAGATACCATAAAACTGGTTACTGCCAGATAACCAATCCATGTAAACTGTACGACTGTTTGAATATTGGGTATGGAAATACTTCTGCAGTTGGTGGGATCTCTCTCATATCGATCGGTGGAGTCGGTTATGCTAACG